CTCAAAGAACAAGACAAGCTCAAACACGATCTAATTTCAAATAAAGCTTTGTTTGATTAAATGCTTTTTTATTTCTCGCATCACAGCTTTTGTCTACTTACTGAAAAAATTGCCGAAAAAATACTGATCTATACATTTTAAATCTAAATTTTCACCGTGCAACGCCGGGTAACAATTCTGAGATAAATGATTTTATTAACACCATTTCTCCAGTAGAATTTAAAACAGAAAAACTTCTATTTCAATGGTAGAGTCATATTATTTAGATGTAGTTTATTAATCATGATATTGGTTCAAATGTTTTTGATAAAATATTGTTGCGTCAGCGAGGTCACGTGACTAGTATCACGCCACCCCTTTCTAGAAATATCCTGTTCCTTCAAGAATGCCCTAGCATTTACTAGATATGTGTTAGTCTTGTATATATAAGACGTTCACAACGTGACGGGACAACAGGGTAGTGAGTAATTGAACTGCAATCAGAGTGTGTAATTGAATTGAGTATTGTTGAAGTCAAGCACGTGAGACGTTCTAGCGTTTGTTATAGAGCGACTGTTAAAATTAAGTGTATCGCAAAGTTATATTCAGAAAGAATAAACCAGTTTTATTTAAGAAAGGACTTGTGTCGCTTAAGTTTCGTCGGAAAGAATTTACGGAAAATTAACTAACGAACAAAGACGTAACAATATTAAAATTGAAAACCATTTGCCATTTATTTGACTAATTCACTAAGTAATCCAGGTCTTTTTCTAAAGTAGCTGCATCTTCCTCACAGCAAGCAAAACCGAAAATTTTAATATCATTAACGAATTCAAATAATTCATTGACCATTCACTTTTCTATGTAATTCACGTAAATCAAACAGAAGATACACTGCCGGTTATCTGTGCTCTGCCAACCACAAGTGTTGAAACTCGATCTTTGGCGTAAGCCCTGAGGCTTGCCGCTGAGCTACCGGGAAGAAGGGACCCATGATAATAATAGTTCTGCAGTATATTTCTACAACGACTTTTCATAATTCTGGCTCTTTGAAGATAAATCTTACAAGTTAAAAACACGTCTTTGTATCTTGAATAAAACCAATTTTTTACCACGTCAATATGCGACTTTAATTTCTGTATTTCCTAAAGATAAGAAAACCTTGCAGGGAATGTTTTTTTATTTATTTTTGTACAGGAAGCTATTTGTTAATTCAGAATTAAGTTGGGAATAAGCTACATTTAAAGTAATTACATTAATGTTCTTTAAATTTTACATCCAAAAATATGGATAATAAGAATGCACCCAACTGATGAATCAAACCATTCTAATCATTATAAAGTCTTAGTTCTTTGACATAGCATACTGGTTAATTAGGTACACCAGTATTAAATTCATAAAATTAATTTTTAGTTTTGACTTATGCAGGTGGTTTGCTTTGATAATAAGTTTAGTAATTTACTTATCTAATTTATTAAGACGTAACTAGAATTGGGCGATTAATTCAATCAATCAATTTCCTATGAGCCTCAATAAGTGTTACATAAAATAATTGTTTAATCAAAATTATGATCAAATCGATTAATACCATAAATAATCAATTACCTGAAATTAGTGTTTCCAGTTATTAACATTTTTGATTATTTCAACAATATAAGTAATCAAAATATTGCCATAATGATTTCTCATTATTATTATTTTTGATTTATTCAAAGTTGTTCGGCTTGATCAATTAGAGTCATGATTCACAAAACAGATCAAAATTATTGTTTATCATAATTACTGTTTTCAATCACTGAATGTAATTAATTAATCAGACCAATAAATAATCTATTATCAATTTCTACTAACGTATAACTCTAGATGAAACATTGTGTAATTGTCATGAAAGAAAAATGTTCATACAACATGGACTAATTTCTTTACTTATAATTAAAATAAACATTATTAGACAATCTAGGAGTTTATTAATACTTTTTGGTACATATTACAAACAATTAAATATTTTTAAAACTTCAAATAAAAATAGATATGAGCTTCTAAGTATTTGATCTAAACCAAAAAAACTTTCAAGTTATAATAATAAAGTTGAACTGTAGAGACTTTTGTATTTTTCCGAATTTTATATGGCTTTGCTGTATCTTCTAAATTATTTACCTAAATTGAATGAAATTCAATGGTTTGTACAAGAGAAAGAAAAATCTATTCATTTTTATAAACTTTAAATATCTTAAATGGCTGTTTATCCAGATTATATTGATATATAATCTAAAGGCTCTTTAACAATCTTCTAAATTTGAAAAGTTGTGTATTATACACAATTGAACTCGTACACGGTGTAAAGAAATTATTCATGTCACCAATATCTTTACTTATTTATATAATTCATTTAATTTTTTGTTGACATACACGGATTATACAAAACAACATAGAAGTAAAATTCATTTCAAATTGGTGATTATCTCATATACAGAAAGTTTAACCCTAGAATGCCAGTATGGTTAGTTTAGTATATGGGTTTAACTTGTATGGGGTCATAGTGACCCCATGCTGGCATTCTATGGTTAGTGTGTATGAAACTAAATCCTTTCACTTTTTTTGGACTGTAAATGTGAAGTAATTACTCTCATTAACTGAGTTACTTCCACGTTAGAATTTAACCCACCACAGAACAATCTCTTACATGTGTTCTAAACATGCTTTGAACACTGCCAATATAAATGCATAACCTAAAAAGTCATTCCATTGAAAACTGAAAATAGATTTAGGAAGAAAAGCATACAAATACAGGTAATTATTTTCATGAAAATCACTTCAATTTTAAATGTTAGCTTCAAATGTAATAACTTCCTTCATTATATTTAGAAAGCCAGAATCCCACTAGTAAAAGTAAAGAAGAAACTGGAAGATAGGTGTAGGAGTATCATTTTGATGAGGGGATACAGTGACAAAAAGTGGGTGAAAACCTAGCATGAATCACAGAATATGTTGCCCACTAGCCCTAAAGGTCATTGAGAAAGGAGGCACATAGGTCAAGAGGGTTCAGTGCCACTTGAAACTAAAATGTGCAACCCACACCATTACTTCTCACACCTAACTAGTGGCTCAAGAGGTAACCAAGTCTGAGCACTTCCTCCATTAGAAAGTGCCAGAGAAAAAGAAACAACAACTGGAAAGAGAAAAAAAGTTTAAAGGCGCCTAGAGATAATACAAGGTACGGATCTTTTACTACACTTCTTAGGTCTTACAACCAAAGCAATAATGCAATGGGCACTTATGACACACGTAGAACTATCAACAACGGTATGGTAAAATGAGCTTTCTAATGTGATATGACATATTAATGTATTCCAGACAAAAAAGCTGTGCCACAAATATGCTTCTAAGTTCAGAAAGACAGTAGAAGCAAAAACTTCACCTTAATGGTCAATATACACACACATAGAATTCAGCCTCAGATTAATTCTTCTAAAAATGAGACTGCCTTCCTCAAGTTCTTTTGTTAGGTGTTTTGGATATTTCCACAACCTACACACTGGTTATCCATAATTTTGAAATGATAGACTAAAGGGAAGGCAAATAGTTAGGAACACACAGTGCAGGTGTAGTTAAGGTTGAATATACAATTCAAAAACATCTAAAGCATAAAAAAAATCTGTATAGTAACAATCTCTATGAGTTTTGTGTTCAGTAATCTCACTGGCTTTACTCTTTGCATATGTTGTACACATTCAAGATAATTATTGATTTGAGAGGTAAAGTAGAATAAGGAAGTAATTCCATTAATAACATTAGTATCAATTTAGATGATGCCCAAGAAAAGACATGAGAAAGGCTTAGTTTAGACAGTGTGTAAGATTTCTAATGCACCTAGAGATGAACATATCTAAATGCTAACTACTTATTCTTATAGTAACTCTGTTGGACAGGAAATGGCACTTGAATACAAAATCTTTGTTACTTTATCCAGCCAGTCTCCATTTACTTTTATGCTCAACATCAATTAGGCTAGTAAGTCTCTGGCAAACTGCAAACACATGTATTCAAAATGTTAGTTTTTATATTTATCAGTGGTGGCAAGATTACTCTAACATTATATTTATAGTAACAGTATCAAGCAGTTCTTTACTTATGTCTTGGGGCTTGCAACATTCTTTCAAAAGCTAGGATTGCTTTTGTAACGATAAATAATGTTCCAATCAGAACCATTATAAACAGTACAGTTAAATTTTAATGCACTTACAACAAAAATATGGATAATCATTTGAAGTAATATTGTATGAAAATATCTTTCTTATTCTAATGATTTATTCTGTCATGTATTAAAATAAGTTTAGGTTCAAGGAACATCACAAGCATCAAATTTAAATGAAGGTTATTTTGACAAGCACAAACCAAAATAAGCAAAGGAATTTGATAAGAGACTCCAAACTAATCTTGGTGAAAATAAAATTAGCAAAGCTTATTATTAGCAGATGGTAATGTAGAGTGTGTATATAATAAGCTTACATTGTTACTTTGAGATTACATTTGCAAAGGTATATGCCAATGTGTCATAAATACCCTAAACCTACTGTTCTATGTTATTCTGACAAGCAAAAACCATGAAAAATTAACTATGAAAATTGAAAACATCTAAGAACACACTACATACATACAAGAAGTTATGTAAATTTTATTACACATGGACAATTTGGTTAGTAAGGGAAGGGTAGCTGGGATCACAAAAATGTAATGTTTAAGGAATCATTTTAGTTTACACTTTCCAACAATTCCAGTAAAAAAGTTCTCCAAAAACACATAAAATCTGTACAATAGAACATCCAACAAAAGCCATAAGTGTTTTCCTTTAAAAAAAAGTACTTGTCAGTATCGCACAAATTAAACAAACATGCATAATTATTACAATATATTTCACAGTACATATAATTAAAAATGGTACAAAAACAACTTAGTCTTCAGTCTTCAGCCCTGGTAGTCCAACCTACTAACAATTTCTCGAACTGCATGAATTAGAGCTTCGTTTTCTTGAGGATTATCGAGAATGAGTGTGTGGAGCTTGCCCATGTAAGAGTCAACTGTCTCAAGTGATGGCACTTCATTTGTAACTATAAAGTATAGATTAAAAAATTAATTTTTACTTATAGTAAATTCAGATGTGTGTGTTTGTGTTTATATGTATATTGTGAAACAGTGAAAACAGTTACTAAGACTTACAGAAAAGAAAAAGTAAGTAAAAGTATGAAATTATAGGATAAATAAATTACATTTCTGTTATAATAATAATAATAATAATAAGAAGAAGAATAAATATAATTAGAATAAGATTTTAATTTAGAAAGGAAAGTATATTGACTAATTTTATTTATTCTTGAACATTTATAATATATTAAATTTATACATGGAAAGTATTACATGTCTGTACATTTGAAAAATAAATGTATTTAATTTAGATTATTTATGTTTAGTTGAAAAGCGGTATTTGTATTTTGTTATAGATTCTTATTAAAACTATTTCCTGAAGAGTGACCTTTGAAGTCATAAAACCGGTAGTAGATATATAGAGTATTAAACATTATGGTCTATGATATTAACTATTCCACGAACCAAAAATTTTGACATCTGGTTTAAATTTAGTCTGTGACAACATATGCTAAGTACTAAATGTCAGTGTTGCCACCTTTATGGTCGAAACCAATTCATTAATTACACAATTAACTGTCAAACATCAGTCTTGATGAAGAAGATGTACTTCAACTGTTTTCTTACATTTAGCCAAGAAATAATGTTAATAAATGTATTTAACAATATGTCCTAATAAATAAAAAGATACCTAACATTTTCAAAAGTGTAGTTGCTAAGAACACATATTTGTAATCAATTCTCTAACAACAAAACACTGATTAGTACCTGTTTATTTTTCTTATTCATTATTTTATCATGAGCTTTTAAGGTTTGACTTTTGAAAAAAAAAAGAGCAAAATTAATGTTTATATCATGAGTTTTGTTTCTACATTCTGTGTTTAGTTTCATCTTGCCTTTTCAAGACTTGAAAATTTTAATGCTCATAGTATCTAGTTTTGATTTTCTTTTGCTATAATATCTTATGTCACGAAATTTTCAAAATTTTGTTCTAAAAAACGTTTTGAAAAATCATTAGAAAATATTTCTTTTCATATTATAATTGAAATTTTTTTTTATTGCTATATATCAGAATGTTCCATTTTATATATCCAATCAATATTAACTTGACTGACATTTATTAACATATTTCTTTGGAAACTTTACTGATTGCACTACTCATCACATCTGGATATAAATCATAAAAAAATACTACAGAAACTGACAAATTTATCAGTGACCTAAACCTAACCTTTCAATATGGTGTCAGGTCAAACTAAGAAATTATTTTTGCTAACAATATTCTTGATCAAAATCAATTTATGTCTTAGTAATATACCTTATTTTTGCAATACATTATAAGCTCTTTTATTTCTGTGCATTCTTTAAATGTGATAAACTTAAAAATAGTATTCAATCAATAACAATTTGAGTTACTGAAATATTTTGCCATCACTACCATATTCAAAATCTAATTAAGCTTACCTGAAAACTGTCATAGCTTTCAAAGAAATATAATTTAATACAAAAACATCTTGTTCCTAAGTATTCTAAATTTCACACTAAATTCCACTGTTCTTCTCTACAAGAGTTATGTCTAATCACTTTCTCACAAAACACAAATTAATTCTTATGCTACTTTATTCTGTTTGCAATTGACATATAATTTATAATCTGCTTAATACAATGACATTCAAATTTTGCTTGTAGGTATTTTCAAAGCTGTTCTTCAGTAGTTCCCACGTTTTTTATTACCTCAAAGCATGTGACATGAATAGAGAAGTAAAACTACCAGAGAAACAAGACTTGGTTAATTGTATTCCCAAGGGATGATCATTTCTTAGCAAATAAACATCTGTGCTTTGAGCTTGTCAGAAAACATTTGTAAAAACCAGTAAGTGTAAAAATAATAAATAATATTCAACATTAAACTGGTATACAATCAAAAACATTTTATTTGGGCCTATCTATGGCCTTCAAAAAGTTGACGATTCTACATATTTCGACGTTACAATGTCATCCTCATGATGTAATGCCAAAACATGTAGAGTCATCAATTTTTTGAAGGCCATAGATAAGCCTAAATAAAATGTTTTTAATTGTGTACCAGTTTAATGTTGAATACTATTTATTATTTTTACACTTACTGGTTTTTACAAATGTTTTCTGAATTCAAACATACATTTCTGCAC